TCCCTTTCCCCTTCCGTTAGGACATTGATGCATGGTTGATTAGTATGTGCCATGGCGATGGCACGAAAGATCCCCTCCTTGGATTGAAAGAAGCCCTTCCTGAGGAATTCGTAAAATAGAGCCTCGTATGCCACGTTGGATGACGTCCACACTCCTTCACACGGTAAGTGGCAACGTAGAAAGCTCCGTGTGACGATCGATTAGAGAGATCGACACGTGTCATGGTTCAAGCAAGCAGGAGCTTGCTTAAGATTGAACCCCCCTGGGCGTCACATATGTGACGAACCGATTTCTGTTCCGCGCGATTTTTTGCGCGATAACAATGAGGGGTCCTAAGCTGGGAAGGATGGGCCAATTACGGGAGATTGGGATTGAAGGGAAATTGCATCAGTGTCCTCGTTTCTTCGTCTTTTTGCGTCGTCTCTTTTCGGATGATTGGGTGCAGCGCCGGGCGAGTCGTGGGATGATCAATTGAGTGGCGCGCCGTCGAGCGCCCGCATGATACTGGTTGACGTCGTTCCTTTTCGTTTTCTGTTGTTGGATTTTAGGCGCGGAGGTCGCGCGGGGAATTTTGTTTCATTCTTTTTTAATTTCTTTTTCGAATCTTGTCGAACCCTTAACGTCTTTCGGAACTTCGGATTTTCTTATCCCCCACGCCGCGATCTGACCATGCAGAACGCACACGCTCCCTCTCCTAATCTCCTTTCTAAGTCCTTGCAATTCCGTGTTCTTCGCGCATGCATGCACGCTATAAATTTCGGCTGTGCGATTAGATAACTCTCTTAACTAGTTGTTGGAAGCTCGGGGAGCGCGATCAGTGAGGGTCGGCTCCCGAGCGAAGTAAGAGGTGAGTTGAAGTGGGAGTCGGGCGACCCGGCGAGCTGGTGCTGAGCGCGCGGGGTTGACGCAGGCCACGACGGACTGTGGGCGCGGGCGAACTTGACGAATGCGGGAGGACTAAGCGGGGTGACGACTTCGTGGGTTGGTGCGTGACGACGGACAGTCCGCATCGGAGAGGAAGAAAAAAGAAGAGGGAGCTGAGGTTGATGGACGTGGTTTGCAATTTTCCTTGTCTTGTCTCCCCCTTTGCTTTTTATATAAATTTTGATCTTGGTTAAGGGCGATTCGCCCGTTTTCTTCGATTTTTGGAATCTTGGATTGGTTTTCGCCCACACTCGTTTTTGCGATTGGTCTCAATCTCGTTTACCGCGTGTTATGTCGAATGAATGGATGAATGAATGTTATGTCTGTTTGCTTTTCTTTTGTTTAGTCCTTGCCTTCGCTTGTCATCTTGATACACTCATGAGCATGGTAGAAACTTCTCTGTAGTTGTCATTATTACTCCCGTTGTTGTTTACTTTTTTTGAGCCACTGTTATTGCTGCGATGCTTGATGTGTAATAGCACCTTGCGCTGCTCATGAACGATTGCGTGCGGGATCACGGAGTGATCAGATGATTGGGTAGTAGTTTGTCCAGAAACAAGCGAATACCTAGCGGGGATGCGTGTAAGCGCGATCTGATCTGCGCAGCCTACATGCATCCACGCGCGACGATTCGCGACCATTGACGAACTTGACACCCTTGATATCGGATAGACGGGAATTTTCCTTCCCCCACGCACCCAAACGGATAGGAGTTTCCGATATCACATCGGAAAATCCCTTGCCGGTTGGACGCGTGCGGAAGAATTCCATCACACTGCAATGATAAGATGTCGAGCTCCTGGGACTCGGAGTACTTCGACCCTTGGGTGAGAGAGTGTATTAGGCAAAGATACCCGAAATTCCCTTGCGTAACCGAGAATCGATTGTGCCCCAGGGAGTTTCACTGCGCCACGACCAGCGATCCGAGGTGCCCTGATTTTCCCACTTCAGACAACACGCAATACTTCATATCCCCTGACTTCGTCGTTATCTTCACCAATTTCCCTCCCTTCCGTCTCCTCCTCCCATATCACCAACTCACGGTGGTTCCGTGGAATTCCATCGCCCCGTACTGGCCCCGCACGCCCTGCAGAAAAATTGTCGGCGACACGGCAACTGACGAGCCCCTGAAAGAGGGTCTGACCCAAGCGCGTGACGACAAACGCCGCGTGTCTGCACCCAAAGGTCCGACTCATAAGGGACACAACTATCCCGGGCGGGCCTCTCCCCGAACCGCCGCCCTCAAAACGGACGGATCGGACGACCTTCAATGCACCGCGCATGCCATCTGCCTTATGTTGCATGACCCGAACACCTTAGACTGGAAGTAACTCGCCCCCTTAGCCCTATTGCATTTATGCCCCTGAAACTTTGCCACAGGAGATCTCAGTTCTGACCTGGGACTCCACCCCCACTTTCCCCAAAAATCCTTGGCACACCCTTTTTCGCACTTCCAGGCCCACATCCCACTCCGATTAGGAAGTCGCGTTGGGCGTGAGGTTGGGCGTCTCAGACTTCTCTCGTGTGCTAGAGTGCACTACAGACAGAGATAGAGGGGAGCAGGGATCTGGCCTCTGAATCCGGTCAGATCCGAAACGCCAAGAAATCTACACTACAGCCAGTCTGAGCTAGAGATAGAGGAGAAGCAGGAATCCGACCTATGAATTCGGTCAGATGCAAAGTCCCAAGAGATCTTCACGTGAATCGTAGAAAATCGAAGATGCTAAATTCCTTGCTCATTTGTGTGAAGTGCTGCGAGGACGAAGCAATCAAACAAGGATGAGAAATGAGCAACAGATAACACGCTATCAGTGAGGGGGCTGAGGAAGCGATTGTCCGGGATTTAAGAATTCTAAAGAATACGATACAATACTAAGGGCCTCGCCACACCACTCTTGAGAAAGAGTTTTCAAGAGTTGCGGTGCCGCCACCCTGCCTCTTGAGAGGTTGGATCGGAAAAAAACTTCAAGCGCTGTCAGAACGCGGGTTCAAGAGTCGCGCTTGAGGAACCCGAAATCCCCGCCTGCAACACTCGATATGTCAAGCGTCCTCGGCCCGGTGGTCGACGGACGCTTGATTCTCAAGAGCTGTCAGGTCTTCAATTATGACAGCGGTCAGTGATTTCGGCCTCCTCTTTCCAGAGTCTACTCTTGTGATTTTGGCCACCGTGTCCGTCCCAGGCCGCCGGTTAGCAATTCTCAAGAGTAGGCCTCCTCGCGACACACAACTCTTGAAAGTCCTCCAGCGGTCGGGGCCTTTTCTCAAGTGTCCGTTTGTCAAGACGTATTTGTGGCGAAGAGCCTGAAACTCTTGAAACGGGGACTCTTGAGAAAATCTGACAACTCTTGAGACATTTGGCGTTTTCAAGAGTGGTGTGGCGAGGCCCAAATAGGGGACTGCCATTTTATGACAGGAAGAAAGGTGAATCAAGCCAGAAGTAGGACAAAATACAGAGTGTTGAAAACGAGGAAATAAGCAAGCCACCAAGGGTAAGGTCAAGGACCGAGAGGCATAGAGGAGAAAAGGAGGAGAAAAGGAAGAGAATTCCACGTTCAAGAGGTGAATGAAACGGCCCTGATAAGGAGGGGGCGATGTAACTAGAGCAAGGAAGGGTAAGTAGAGTGGGTGTCTCTACGTGTCATGGCTTCCTCCAGTCAGCTTAATGCTCTGCTCCCTTTGCACTACTGGAAATGCTCCCACCGCCGCCACTGAAACTCCCACTTCCCAAAGGTGACGTCGTCCCTGTAGAGTTTCAGTCTTCACGCTCCTTGTTGAGATAGTCGCTAGTACTTGGCATGTGCTCCTCACAACAACAGTCCCACGGCTGCCAGTTGCCCTCCCACTGCTCCTGGAAGCGCCCGGGTCTGACTCGTTGTTTGTGTCATTGGTAGTGTATTTTACCCAAATGAGGGCACATACAGAAGTTAAAATCGCTTAACTCTGACAGTGGAAGGTTGTAGGGGGATCCGTAAACTCCCTGCTCCCTGCTCCCTGGTATTCCACAGGGAGACACAGCCCCTTGTCGAGGCTGAGGGAGATGGCGGGACCTCGAGAGTATCGAGTACTCCATAGCTCTGTCCCCCGCGCGTTGTAACCCGCGCCTACCGTCGGTAGCGCAGGGCTTCCTTGCAGCGGTACCGGCCCCCACATATTCCTCATCGCTGTGGGTGTAATTGCTGTTAGGTTCGTGTAGGTCCCGCCGTAATTGCAGTCGGGTGAATTTTGGAAAGTGCTAGAGTGAGTATGCCCTGCTTCATGAGTTTCTTTTGTTCTTTTCCCAAAACGGGATAACGTTTAGCATTATTGTATATGATTTGGATGGTTTGAACCCATGATCTGTTTGGAAACAGTTATATCACAGCTTACGTGTGTCTTGTTTGCTACTTTTTTTGTTTTTTCTCGAACCTGTGTTTTCTTAACAGTCAGCCACTCTGGGTGCACTCGCCGCCATTTCCACGCCAGGACTTGATGGGCGATCTCTTGTCCACTTTCCACAAGATATCGGGACCTGATGGTCCTTTTCAGGTCCTGTCCCAACCGGGCCTCCTTGTCTGGCCGCCAGGGACAGAAATCCGACAGAGCGGGAGATTTGTAGGCGATGAGGCGCGGCGACGCAGGCGCGCACAGGTTCCGCGGAAAGTCGTAGTGCGAAGGGCGCGCGCAAGGAGCGCGCGCCGGCGCGCCAGAGGGAGCCAAAACAGGCGGGAGCCCAGACTGGCGCGGTGCGATCAGCAGATGCAAGAAGGCAGAGGAGAGGACGGTCGGTGTCGAGTCCACATAATAATGTTGCGAAATCTACTAGCGTGATCAAAGACCGCGGGTGAAGGAGCGGGGGAAAGGAGTGTGCTGTCAGCGCGGCGGTAGTAGTAGATAGTGACAATTGCTGCTGAATCTGTTTTCGTTTTGCTTTCCCATGCCTTCGCGTGTCTTCACGCGGAGCGAACTTCTCTTCCTGCTTCTCCTCGTCCCGTCTAACGCCATGGCTACCAACTACGACGAGCGGCGTAGGTGCTTCACTCTACTTCTCCCTCCGCGACCTCGATGTTGCCGACAGCGGTATGAGACAATCTGAGTCAGCAACCAAGGCGGGCGCGTTGTCCTTTTGATCGACTGCGCTTTCCGGACAGTCGTCGTTAAGCGCGGGAAACATTCCTCGAATGGAAAAGAAATTGGCCATTTTAGGAACGCTTTGCACGCTTAACTACGACTGTCCGGAAAGGCTAGATAGTTAGGATCTGTGTGTGTGTGTGTGTGTGTGTGGGTTGATGAGGAAGGGAAGGCAGGAAGTACGGGAGGGAAGGAAGAAGAGAGGAGCCCGGGGGCCCCTCTTCGTCTCTTCGTTGGCGATCTGGTCAGCAAGGAAGCGAAGTGGTCGAGTGGTTTGTGTTTGGACCGACGATTATCTTCGTTGTTAACTGTGGAAAATCTCTCCGTTTTCCTTCGTGGAGGAGTTTTCCCCTTTAACAATCTTGATAATCTGTAACTTATTGCATGATCATCAGAAGTGCTGACTTGTGTGCTGAAGTGTACCCCGTACGATGAGCTATGACTTGCCGGGATTGACTGCCAGAGGGGCTAACGGAGAAGAAGTTGGCGAACGGCTGACGTTTGGACAAACGGAATTTCGGCGGAACGGTGGCGAGTTTGACAGCGGGCAGCTTCGGAGTCAGGGAAAGGAGGTCAGATCAGGTACGAGGAGGAGGAGGTGGTGGGCGTGGGGTGGTGCGATGGCCGTACAGTTCTGCTGCAGCCACCGGCTTGCATTCTCGTTGCAGGAAGTTGGAAGTTTGATGTGTAGATAAGTATTGACACGATTTCGTCCGTGTAGTTCTCTAATTATATTCTTCCCCATTGTTGGGGTATTCCGTTTTGCGGACCTACTGTATGGATCCGTCTTTTTACTATAGTTATGGCAGAATTTGTTTCGGTAATTTCGGCACCCTTGTCTGCATCCCGGTTGGTTTCGTCCCGTTGTTCGGCTTACGGTAGGGAGTTGTAAGTAAGAAGAGAAAAAATGAATTGATTTTTTGTTTTTTTCGATTTTGCGCTCTGACATCTTCGTGACGATATATACCTGATGAGTCGGTGAAACTCCGACGAAACAGTTTGTCACAGCCCCTCGTTTGGTGTCCTCTTCTCTCTCTCTGCCTACGGTTTGCCGGGCAGTTCTATTTGTGACGATATATATCTATGTATACAGATATATACATATATATATACATGGCATATTTATTTAGTACGTATGTGAGTAACGAAAATTTGCTATTAGGCAGGTGTGACTGTCTTATAGGCGGGAAGGCAACGCTCATTTGTAGAGTTGACGATGTTGGAATGATTGGGATTGTAATGGGAGAAAAGGTCTAAGGCAACGCTCATTTGTAGAGTTGACGATGTTGGAATGATTGGGATCGTAATGGGAGAAAAGGTCTGAGTAGAAAAAACCTGCCGTACTAGTTAGAGAGGGAAAACGAATCCAACGAATCCAACCCTTTCAAGACGGAATTGGCGGTGGATTCGAGAGGAGAGACAGTCAACAGTGTTGTGTCGGACGGACGGGCGGACGAGATTGTGTTGTGGAATGTAGGTCTCGCCTGCTCAGATTCGGGGTTTGCAGAAGGGGGTTGGCTGGGTTGTAGTGTGTAGTATACGCCGCCGGCATTTGTTTTTGTCTGCGTTTCTGTCCTATTGTCTGTTTAATGGTATGCATGAACGTGAAGTTGTCTTTCTGTCGATTGTCGAAGTTGTAGCTGAGATTCCGATCGTGAGGTCAACTACAACCGCCTGAAAGGACGAAAGCAGTTGTCAGTATGGACGGAGGGGCGTGTGTTGTGTATACGACTGCGGTGATGGACGAATCAAAGCTGAGGAGGGAGGCGCGGAAGCGCGTGCGGGCGCCAGCGGTCCAAGCGCTAATTAGCAAGAGGCCAGTGCGGATTCCGAAGCGGGTAGGACGACCGCCAAAGGCGCTAAAAGCGCAAAGGGAAGCGGAAGCGGCGGCGGCAGCAGCGGCGGCGGCGGCGGCGAGTGCCGCGAAGTCGCGCAAGCGCAGTTCTACGGCAATGGCAAATGGGGATCGTCGTGGGGATGGCATAGGCAGTGCCAATGCAGCCGCCGCTGCTGCTCCCGCTTCTTCCTCTTGTCCGCCCAGTAAGAGGATCAAGAGCACAGCTACAACAGGCCGTCAGGTCGCTGTTACCTCTTCCAGGAGCAGTGGAGCCACCGCATCTCCAAACAGTGCCCACGTGGCCAGTCAACTTACGATGGACTCCAGGGATTCACAAGATCGACGTCAGCGATGCTGCGAATTGACTGGTCTTCGTCACTGCGACTGCGGAAGTAAACCCCCGAGCGTCGCACACGAACACCACTGCTGCGTTGTCGGCAGAAAGGCGGAGCCGGTTGATTGCGGCGAAACTGCTTGCGCCGGGCAAGGGCAATTGCTCTGCTGCGGTGTTAGGAGCATCTGCGTTCGCGACCGGAGGGCTGAAGTCGTCGACGATCCAACTCAATCTCTATCCCCTTATCGCTCTGTAGAACACGCGCTGGAGAACGGCGTGGTGTCGGGTTCTCGTCGGACCGCCTCCTCGTCGTCTTGTCCCTGTTGTTCTCCGGCTACCAGTGGTTGTCGGTGCTGTTGTTGTTCGCGTTCTCGCTGCACGTCGGGGTCTCCACATTCTTGTTCTTCGTTGTCATCTTCTCCCTCCCGCCCGCAGTCCGTTTCTTCGTACGTACCGCTTCCTCGGTTCGATTCCGTCGGCAGCAGCAGCAAGTGCTCGGAGAACTTCGCCGCACATTCGCCGGACTCCATTTTCGGATTTGCCTCCTCGCAAACGCATTCGCGGACCGTTTCCTCGCTCGACCAAGGCGGCTCCTTTTCCCAGCCATTCGCTTTCGAGTGTGCAGATGCCAAGACCACCGCAAGCGCCTGGTCGTCCGGGTTGGCGCCGTCTTCGTCGGCTAGGGAGGAGGCACCGCCACCGACGCCGACGACCACAGTTTCGTCGTGGCCGACCGCTCTGCCCGCCAGTAGTGGCGATGTCAATTGCAGCAACTACGTAAATGGAGGCGGAGGGAACGTGACGACGGCTTCGCACGAAGCGGGACGATTGATGACACTGCCTTTTATCAAATGTGAACAGGAGCATTTACAGTCAACCATGCCACTGGAGCAGCAGCAGCAGCAGCAGATTAAATGTGGAGCGGCCGCCACTAGTAATCAACAGTCGTCGAAGTCGTCTGCGGTGACGGACTGCGATGTTTTCGGCCCACGTTTCATCACGCGATTTACTGCGGAAAAGCCCGTTGTAGATATTGTTATCGCTGGTATGAGGAGCGGCGCGTGCATCGACGATTACGGCGGCAGCAGCCTTCGCCGCTCGGCCGTCGACGGAGGTGTCAAGAAGGAGAGCGAGGGCGATAACGTTATTATTGACAAACCGAATGTGCCGAGCTCATCCTCTGCGATGAACTTTGAGCAGGGCTGTTTTCGAAAGGGTGGCAGGTCAGAGCCTGTCAGACGATTCGGGGCGCCGTTAGACCTGCTAGGACAGCACCGACTGCAGTTCAACCTCGACCGAGGTGGTGTGTGGGAGCAGGAGAAGTGGAAAAAAGCGGATGCCTATTCGCCGACAACAGCGAACGCTGTTGTGTTTGCTGCGAAAGCAAAAGTGGCGGCGGTTTCGAGCGAGGTTTCTGATGGCTCATTGGAGTCGACGCTGACGATGACCACCTCTGTTGATACTACGTTGGCACGTCGCATACCGTCTTCTTCTGTCGAGGTAACCACAGACGCAATTCAGCGAAGGGCTCAAGAAGACTTGGCGATGGAGGATATCGATGAGTATACGTGTACCGCGTCGGGACCGGCGCCTATGCCCGAGCCAGTAAATTATGCGAGCGTGGACGGTGACGGAGTGATTCTTATTACTCACGACGACGAATGGCCGTTGGACCTTGAGTTGGAACGCGAGTGGATTTTGAGCTGCCACGTGGGAGGGGAGACGAACGGGCTTACGCCAGCCACCGGCTCGCTTACAAACGAAGGTGGTCGGCCACTCGTAATGAGGAGCAGGTAAGAGGAGTTCCTCCTCTCTTTCCGAATTAGCTTGCTTTAAACGCTGCCGAGAGTGGACAAGTTTTGCGGGAGGTCACAATCCTCCCGCGGCTACTGATTGAATGTGTCCGTAATGGGTTTGTGAAATTCAAGCTGGCATTGTCTACGCCTTTGATCGGCTACTTACTGTATAATAACCGGAATGATGTCTACCTCCTGGTACGCGTCTACCTTCGTTAGCGAGCTTTGTTATGAAAGTGGAAGGTTGTCGTGTCACTCAATACCGTCTTCCCCCGCGTTCGAACGTACGGTCATTATCGCGGTATCGAGACCGAAAATCCTTGTAAATAAGCCATCGCGGATAATGACGTACGTCCTAATCGGGCAAAGACGATTTTGGTCTTGTTTGAAACAACGGCACTATTTTTGTAACAGCTTTCCTGTTCCTTTTTTATTTGTCGTCATTTGCGACTCCTGATGCATAGTAATGTATTTTTTCGCATGTGCTTTATGCCTTCTCGTTCCACACGTACTATCCTGGGGTAGGGAGGTAGATTAAACTAATGACACTCAGAAGAAAAGAAGACAAACAAATAGCAATGACAGCGGGCTCTTTTAGTCCAGTTTATAGAAGTTCTCTCTTTTGAGTCCGAAACCCCGTCGCGAGGTGAGGATGAGTTGCTGGTCATCTAGTGACCTGTAGCATAACGACCGGTATTTTTGTAACAGCTTTCCTGTTCCTTTTTTATTTGTCTTCGTTTGCGACTCCTGATGCATAGTAATGTTTTTTTCGCATGTGCTTTCTGCCTTCTCGTTCCACGCACTATCCTGGGGTAGGGAGGTAGTGACAACTAATGACACTGAGAAGAAAAGAAGACGAAACAAATAGCAATGACAGCGGGCTCTTTCAGTCCAGTTTATAGAAGTTCTCTCTTTTGAGTCCGAAACCCCGTCGCGAGGTGAGGATGAGCTGCTGGTCATCTAGTGACCTGTAGCATAACGACCCGGGTTTCAACCGAAGAAAGGAAAACAAAAAAGAAGTGCCAAGCCTAGCAGCGGCGGCGGCGGCGTTACGTCAGTAAAGTAACTGGAGTTTCTCTGATGTGCATCTAATAGGTATAAATGTCTAGAATTTTTTATTTTTCCTTGGACTTTTGATTTATTAATTTACTTTATGTCGAGATTGAAAACGATAAAAACTACATATTCCTTTTTATTTTTCCTTGGACTTTTTATTTATTAATTTACTTCATGTCGAGATTGAAAACGATAAAAACTACATATTCTTCTCTCAAAGTCTTTCGTCTTTCATGACCTACCTACCACTAAAGTTTATACAGGGGACCACTGCAAGCATAGAGATGTCTAGAAATTTATAGGTAGCGGATGAGAAACTCCGCACTGAAAAAAAAGGAAAAAAAAAAGTTTCTGTTAGTAACGGGGAAGGGAAGGCGGGCGCTCCGAGGAACCATTTGGGAGGCTTGTGGATCTTCTCGGCTTTGTAAATATCCCATAGTGGTTGAATGCGGGCGCAGGAAATTCGGACGGGCGGAAAAAAATTCACTGCGACGCGACCTACTCTCGAGATCGAAGAGAACGGCGACGCGAGCTGTTGAAATCGAAGACAAGATTCGGAAAAGTATTTGCGAGCAGACCTTCATTACGGGTTTAGATAAGTCGCCAGGAGACGAGTGTTGGCAGTTTGGATAGACGCAGCCATATTGATAATGAATCAGTTAATGATGTATGATGTACATACGTCGGTTGAGTCATACGTAATATTTCACAAAAGAGGGCACGATACATATTGTGCTTACGCTTCGCCGGTGAATCCAAAGATGGAATTCGAAGATTGTCATCGATCGGAGGGTACTTTTAAAAGAACGTCGTGCGTGGTACGGGACAATATGTTTTTTTCCCCCCCTTTCCCCAAATGATGTCGAACAGTCTCTTTCTGCAGTGCAAGCTGCACTACCTCGTTGTGGGTAGGTTGTCCTTTTTCTGCGGGCCGGGTTGAGCATTTTTGTCTATTTGCCGCTGATTTAGTAAGGAGAGTGTGGCCATGAAAGGTGAGAGATCTCGAGTCGCGTCAGGTGAACGAAGAGGCAACGCGCGCGCGGTTGATTGAGAAGCGCAATGCATATGATTGTATCGTTATCAGGAATACAACGCCCGGTCATTATCTCCGTACATACACCGGAAATTGCATCAAATACACCTATAATGACCGGACGTTCTATTCGGGTGAAGACGGTAAAGGAGTTCCTCGTCCGCCGGTCTTGTGCGCCGGCGAGTTGTCGACAAGCCGGCAAGTGTGCGGCGGCGGCTCACACTGTGCAGCGACTGCGTTTGTTCCCACGCTTGTAGTTTTTTTTTTGGTTTTCAGTTTGGACTAATTCTCTCTGTCATTCTCGCGCAGGCGCCATGCTTATCTTTTATGTACCGTTCCAATTTTAACGGATGTTCCGAAGGACCAGTCTTTTATTATGTCCAGCTGCTTCCGAGCACTAAAACGAATGGGACGCGTTCTTGCGAAGCGTAGGCAGATGCACCGCGCTTTTTCCATGGAGCTGAAGACGACCGGGCCCTTCCTGCGCAGTTTCACACGCGTATCTCTATTCTTATATCCACAGCCCTTTGCGAAGCGTGACTGACTTCCAGATACACGCGGACGTAATGACGAGGCTTGCCGCAGCTACGCGTGTGCGCAAGCCTTCTTCGCGCAGACGCAGCAATTGCTTTCCGTTAGTTATCGGGCACCTTAGATATGTGGCAACCGGAGAATTTACGCGCATCAGGCAAAAAGAGCCCTTCTTGTTGGAGGCGAGCCAAAACCGTCCTTCACTGTTATGCCTTCTTTTAGTGAATATTTAGACAGTTCGGGAAAAGTTACAGATGCCGCCTGCTCGTTTGCTCCCGGTCCGTGGCGAACGGTTCGACAGGCCCCCGAAAGCTGGTGGCAAAAAAAGGTTAGGGACCACTGCCCCGTGCCTCAAGCCTTTTAGGTCCTCCGACACTTTGGGGGAGGGGGGCAAACGAGTACAAACCTTTTGTCGCCGGGGGGATGTGTAACTTGTCCGCCCCCAAAAATGTATGACAGCGTGAGCACACAAACTCGAGTGAATGTGTGACAATGCGTGACACACGAATATAACATGATGGAAGTCCGACGTAACACGCTCCCGCAAAGCACAGATGAACCATACTTCTGTAGAGTTGTGTCGTCGTATCATGACAGCAGAAAAAAATGAAGGAAGTCCGACGTAACCGCTCCTGCAAGCACATATGAACCATACTTCTGTAGAGTTGTGTGTCGTCGTATCATGACAGCAGAAAAAAATATTTGCCTACGTGCGCACACAAGCACGTGTACCGAAGAAGCCCGTAGGTCGTACACACCGACAGACACGCACGCTCACAGGGACACAAACGCAGACGCACAAAGATAGCCACACACAGACACACAGGTGCACAAGGACGCAGCCAGGACCTCACGTTACGGGAACGTTCAGTAGTAAGGTGCCGAAGATTTTATGCCAGCTACGATGGCGGAAATGTTCTGAGGAAGAGGAGGATGAAACACAGCATAGGGAGCTGCTCTTTTTGCTTTTTCCCTATAGTCTATTGTCTGCCAACTAGGCTGGTGCTGAAAGTACTGCTCTGTAACCAATAATTGTGTTTGTTAAAATCGCGTTTTTTTTTTCTGTTTAGCAATTTGAACTGGAGTGACCTGAAGAGGTCATTTGGCCCGTCCAGTACTTTTGGGATCAGTTGTAGTATCATCCATAATCAGCACAAGGGCCATCTTTTGGGATGCCATTTTTTGGGATAAGTTGTGTTGTGGTGTCATTGATAATCACTTATCCCCGAAAGTGGCGCTTACCCGAAATGCCAAGTGACCTCTTCGGGTAAGTACAAATTGCAAAATGGGAAAAAACTCGCTTTTAATGAAAATGCAGTTGAACATAGTCCTTTCAGTTTACTTGCAGACTTTTCTGAAGGTCCATTTTCTCGAAGGTGACGCCGGCATAATTATTAGTGTGCTTTTGAAGCTTTTTCTAGTACTGGTCTCTGTAAGTCGTCGGCAGCACGAAGCGAGGTAAACCTGCTAGTAGTAATTGACATCATAATTAATGAAATTGGAAAAGCAATTAAGTAGTAGCATTTCGTGTTATAGCAGGCTTCGTGCCCTGTGGGAGAGTAGCAAGGAAGTTGGGTTGTTAATAACGGTAGTTCTCTGAGGCAACGCGCAAGGGAAAACTCAGAGGTAACGTTGGTTTGTCGAAGTGGTCTGGTGGTTGTAGCTTGCAAAGCGGCCGAATGAGTTGTATCCCTGGATGTTATGTGCGAGAATGAAGAATAAGGTAGGAAAGGAAGTTGCTTGCTTAAGGTCCATTTTCTCGAAGGCGGTGCTGGCATAATTATCAGTGTGCTCTTCTAGTACTGGTCTCTGTACGACGTTGGCAGCACGAAGCGAGGTAAACCTGCTAGTAGTAATTGACGTCATAATTAACGAAATTGGAAAAGCAATTAAGTAGTAGCATTTTAAGGGCACTAGTAGTTGAACTACGTCGTGTTATAGCGGGCACCGTGCCCTTTGGGAGAGTAGCAAGGAAGTTGGGTTGTTAATAGGAAGTTGGGTTGTTAATAGGAAGTTGGGTTGTTAATAACGGTAGTTCTCTGAGGCAACGCGCAATGGAAAATTCAGAGGTAACGTTGGTTTGTCGTAGTGGTCTGGTGGTTGTAGCTTGCCGAGCGGAAGAGTTGTATCCCTGGATGTTATGTGCGAGAATGAAGAATAAGGTAGGAAAAGAAGTTGCTTGCTTATGTTCTTTTCCTAGGAATGCTTGAAAAAGGAGATGAGAAGACCAGTAAACGGCTTTTACGAGTGCCACACGGACTCGCACTCCCAGGTGCCTTGTTTCACTCCTGCGTAGTGGTTTGGTGGTTGTAGCTTGCCGAGCGGCCGAACGAGTTGTATCCCTGGATGTTATGTGCGAGAATGAAGAATAAGGTAGGAAAAGAAGTTGCTTGCTTATGTCCTTTTCCTAGGAATGCTTGAAAAAGGAGATGAGAAGACCAGTAAACGGCTTTTATGAGTGTCACACGGACTCACACCCCCAGGTGCCTTGTTTCACTCCTGTAAATCACATAAATTGTCTAAGAAAATGAAGAGCGTGGGTGACCAGGACTTTTTTCTATACAGCTCTGGACGTGATCGCAGCCAGATTCATCCAGGTCTGGTCGTAATCGAAGTCACATGCATTTCGGTGAGTGCTAGTGTGAGTATCCCCTTAATGGGCGAAATCCATTTGCGTTCGGAATGTTTTTGTATGTGTTCGCAAGGTGAATTCAAGGGGAAGGTCTGCTCATGCCAATACTTCAAAAGTAGTGGCAAGCGAACAACCACCTCGAGGTTTCTTTTGCCTGATTCGCGTCTCGCAGTGTCATATAATGGTGGTAGAAAGTGTCTCTTCTGTGGTTGAAAGTGTCTCTTCTGTGTTTGTGCGACCGGGAACCACAGTTTTATTTCTCCCCCTCCACACACCTCACGGATGTTTTTACCCCTAGTCTATGCGGTTTTGCCTCTCTGACGTGTTCTGTGCTGTTCGTCTGCTGTTGGTGGTTGGCATTGCAGAGATGAGGATAGCACATTCCCTTCTGCGGAAAGGCTGTGTTCGACTATCGGAGGAGATCACGGCCGTGTGGTACAAGGGGCGGGTTGCGATGCTCAAGCAGCATCTATCTCTTTTACTGCGGCTGAGAATGCCTTGGGTGAGTTAAGCCACGCGTCAGAATCTTGTGGTCTGTACGACTCTCAACCCATGGTGTGTGTTTTTGAAGGAGGAGATGGCTTGACCTTCTGCTCGGGGGTGAAGGATCAGAACGTCGAGTCTCTCCTCCTCCCGGAAGACATCGGCGAAATACTGGACGAACTGGAACTGCCCTCACTGCGGGTGCCAGATTCCCAGTTTACCGGTCTAGGTAGCCAGACCTCGATCGTCAAAGAGGAGGAATGTCCTTTGGACAGAACTGAGCTTGGGTCGGCTTCCATCTTGCCGATGGAGACGATTGCCATGCCTGATGGCCTCCTTTCTGACTGGTTGGCTGATGACTCGGTTAGTGCCTATGGCTTGGACATGGAAAGGGGGGATGGCCTGTGCACCCTCGACAAAGTCCTGTGAGTGCGAATCCCTAATGATGTCGAGCTGCTGGATTGTCAGCCAGCAATCTATACTGCCCTGGACCATACGTAGTATATCTTTCATGGTCTTCCAGGACGACAGCTTTGGCTGTGCATTCGCTGAGAGAATTGTGAACTTGAAGGTTGTTGGCGAGCTCTGTGCAGGTCAGCTCCCTCCCTCTTTCTTAGTTCGATCGAGAAAAAGGACCACCTCATGCTGCTGCTGCTGCTGCTAGAGTTCTATCTAGCAGCCCTTTGTCAGATTGGGTAAGTGGTGGAGGTGGTTATGGTTTAGGGCATACTCACACTGGTAATTTCGACCGTCATTCGGATGACGGTCGTATCCATCCCAAGAAGACCTACTGAGTGTGAGTATGCCCTTTTCCTTCTGCGAACGTGGACAGGACGGCGAGGTCCTCTCCGCCACCCTGCCTGGAGGGGCGAGGGCTTAGGCCGTGGTTGTTTATCTGAGGCAAGCAGGCACAGGTAGCTCAGGCTTGCTAGTCGCCGCGTCGAAAACTGCCTGCCTGTTGCGTCGGATGTCGACATGTCTCGCCAGTATTCAACCCATACATTGTCATTGGTAAGCCAACGTAGTTAGTTTTGAGAAGAGGAGATCTATTGCATGTCAGAGAGTATGTATACGACCAAGGAGTAGTACATCATACGGGCTGCTTGTACGTTAGAGTTTCCCTCCGGATGGAGAAGGACGTGAACTCTGTATGTGCAGAAACATCTGCAGGTGATCCTGACAACTAGCCACGGATGACAGCAGGCTCTGACATGCAGTACGTACAGAGTTTATGGACTCCAGGGTGTGAGGAACCTTGACATACCTGCAGCCGGCCTAACATTTCTTTCATCTCCAGAAATGTTTGCCTTCATCATTATCTTCCGTGCCTTACTTCGCGTTTTTTTTTTTTTTTTTTTTTTTTTTTTTTTTTTTTTGATATAATCCCTAGCTTGGCAGCTGCAGCAGGCAGGGGCATTTTCAACGCTGTACTGCATGTCAGACTTTGCATGACTGTCAGTACAGCATTGCGAACGGCTTGGTTTGAGTTGAACCGTTGTTTGATTTCTATTTTTAGTTGTCGTCTGGTCGTGCCTGCATGGCTGGAGTTCATTCACATGCTGATTTTGATTCTACGTAATTGGAAAATCTGACTGACTCTCCTGCAACAGCCGCCACAACTATCACCACCCCGCTGTCTGATATGGTGAGGGTGGTGGAGGTTGTGGTGCTGGTGCAGCAGGGTCAGTGCCTGGTCACACAGATGCACTCTCGATTTCTCATGAACCCGATTCCTCGAGAAGGGCGGTGCCAGGGAGATGGCATCGTCACAAACGAGCTACCCGTCTGCCGTTTCTCTTTCAGCAGATGGGATTGTTGAATATCGGTTGCCTTTATTAATGTAGGTTAGTCATGACGGACGAGTGCATGTGTGACCAGGTTTGGGTTTGGGTTGTCCAGTAAGACGAGATGAATCTTTTAACTACTTTGTACAAAAGAGGAACTATGTTCTTTGTTTCTGGAAGACTCGTTCAGTGTAAAGAAGACTTTCATCCAATCTATCAGATACCTGTGAAAGAGGACTTTCGGTGGGGGGAGAAGAAGAAGAATGCCTGCTTTTTGTTATTAACCACGATGCTTGCTGGCCGAGGAAACGGCATTCAGCGGCTGCACGGCGACTTGAAAGGTGAGTTCAGTGAGAGCAGCGGTCGGTAGTGAGTGGACGTGTGGTGGGTCTTCACGGGGTGGTGTGCTCGACATCAGACTCGTCAGAGGATGACAACAAATGACCGTATGGTCGTTGTTTACCGACCGACCTTTCTTCTGTGGGACATTGCAAAGGTGGTTTTCAGGTTTCGTCTCCGGAATTATCTTGGGAACGACTTCACAGCTTCGGCCTCGCTTAACACGAGTTAAAAAAGGGCATGCCATTCTGGCCCATCCTCCTGTGTGAGTAGGTGCGTTTCCTCTGCCTCGGCACTTGACCGCTTCCAAGTTCTATTTTCTGGTGCGGTAGACCAGCATTGGCTGAGGATAGTCGTTCCTTCCCTCCGTTTTTGGTTTGATTCAAAGAAAAACGTTGGAGGTTGGTTGAATCTTGTTTCCCTTGCCCAGTCTCTCTCTCTCTCTCTCTCTCTCTCTCTCTCTCTCTCTCTCTCTCTCTCTCTGTTATTACGTTGTATCTCTTGCCCATCTGGGCCAGCAGCCTCCGCCACGCGCCAAATGTGTGATGCCAGTTTGTGATACGAGGCTGTTTTTCTGTCACAGCCTATTGTATGGTTCCATGGTGGACTGCCCAAGTCTTCCGACAGTCTTTGGCAGTGCTGAGGGGTCGGAGGAGCTCCTACGCTTGGCTGAAACAAAGCACAATCGTGAATTTTCATTGGTTCTTGAACAAGTGGACCATTGTGATGAGCTACTAAGTTGTGCAGGGACAGTCATGAAATTTATGGATATATATATGTTTTCAGTCCCTAGAATTTCGGGATCAATCTTTATCGGTTTGAGCGTTTTTTTCTTATGGTTTGGGTAGGGATGTGTCCACACTCGCATCTTCTCCATTTTTGAGGCAGTTTTGCTGGATTTCGTACCCGCAATGTTGTCAGAGCTGCAGTTGTATATGCCTATATTACCTCTGACTTGTCAGCTTCCACTTCGGGTTCGGACCTCAGGTTACTTCCAAAGGTCTACTGCCTCTCCGAAGGTCAGCTTTGTGGTTGGATACCCTAGTAGATTGTGCAACCGATTGCAACTTGGTCACAAAATTGTAGGCTACCGGAATGACGGAACAGTGTGAACAAACGAAGTGGGGAGGATTTGTGACTGGCAATCTGAATGCAGTGAAGTCACAGCAGCTGCGCAAATAGGAAAGATCGATAAGGCATCGCCATGGCTAAGTGAGGATGTACTCGACAGGTTTGCACACTGTTGATTCTGTGTTGAATGCTTTTTTGCAGTCCGCAAGTTAGAAATGTTTAAGGTTTGAAAGCGTTCAGCCTTTGAGGACAGTCACTTCAAGTTGATGATAATCGCGTCATTCAGGTGTTGTCACTATTTCGCCGGTGTGATTCAAGTTGTGGCGAACTAGAAGCATTGGGAGGATGGACGAGTCTTCAATGTGTGCATATCAGTACGTTCGTCTTTCAGAGTGGCAAGGTCTGCAAAGGGAGGGTGGTGTCTTCATTGTGAGGATGGAGGGAGTCTTCTATGTGTGCATATCGGTACATTAGTTTTGGAGTGGCATGGTCCGCAAAAGGAGGGTGATGTCTCCATAGCGTATGGACTCGTATGGAGAGTGTATAGTGGACACTTCCACCTTCTGCTTCGTCTTCGGCTTGGTTGTTTGTGGTTTTGGATTGGGTTCTGAACCTTTGCGGTTTCGGGATTGTCTTCAATCTCTATATTTAGTGGATAGGGTAGTGGACTACCGGGTTCTTGTGAGTGGATCCTTAGGTGAGATACTCTTTTGTCTCTATGTGCCAGCATTGGAGTCCTTGAGCAATTCGTAGTTAGCATAGTACTAAAAAGCAGTTGCTTGACAGGTTTGCCAGCTATAGCTCTATTGCCTCTCTGAGGAGGCAATATATCTATAGCTGTGCGATTCATAGCATAGAAAAACATAAAGCAGTTGCTTGACAGGCTAGCCAGCGATAGCTCTATTGCCGCTTGGAGGATGTAATAGCTCTATAGCTGTGCGGAGATCATCCGGGAGAGATGCCTGTGCTGGCTCATGTAGAAGGTTTTTTGCCCCTGTGGGATCGGGAACCTGACTCCCTTATAACTCGGAAATTTGTAGCAGCAATTCGAAATGTGGGTGCTGTCGGTGGCATGCAGACACTTCATTGCAGAGACTCTGGTGAATGGTCGGTTAAACTCGGTTTTCATTTATGAGAGTAAGAATATAAGGAGCATGTCCACATTATATCGTTGGTCATCGTCGGTCTCTCTCTCTCTCTCTCTCTCTCATGTTTGTGAATGGTTGGTTAAACTCGGTTTTGCTATGTTTAATATTTCGAGTTCATCTATGCTCCTTGAGAGTCTCTCTCTCTCTCTCTCTCTCTCTCTCTCTCTCTCTCTCTCTCTCTCTCTCTCTCTCTCTCTCTCTCTNCTCTCTCTCTCTCTCTCTCTCTCTCTCTATCTCTCTCTCTCTCTCTCTCTCTTGTTTGTGAATGGTTGATTAAATTCGGTTTTGCTATGTTTTGCTATTTTGAGCTCATCTATGCTCGAGAGAGTTGGGAATTGCCCATTCTCCTATGTTCCCATCTCTCCCTCGTGTTTGCGAATGGTCGGTTTTGCTATGGGTTACCTTTTTCAGTTCATATGCTTCTTCTCGACTTTGGAATTGCCTATTCCTCCTACATTCCGATTGCTAATGCTAATGTACCTTGTCCAGGATGTGCGCTTTCTCTGGAAGAGCACTCACGGGTGCCTTTGACTCAATTCTGTTGGTCCTGGACCTCGTGGACGGATTACCATGTCTGCCCCATTAGGGAACGACTCACTGCGCTCTGAAGCATGGATACAGAATTTCAGGATGGTAAAGCTCGCCCCATGCTCACTACAGGAGTGCCAACTTTCCATGAGTGGGCTCGGACCTGACCTTGGCATTCTTCCTTCCTCTCTCTCTCTCTCTCTCTCTCAGAGTTTCTTTTGCCGATAGAAAATGGTGCAAGGCCACTATCCTGGTGGCTGTCAGTGAATCACCGCGATCGAGGACTTGCCAGTCGGATGGGCCGGTCTATTGGTGGGGAGCTGTGCCTTCTGGAAACTGGGTGCAGTGTCAATATGGCTTCACGTGTGCAGAATAATGTGTGTAAATATGAATGGTCATACAGTCAGACGTATTGCCTTTTTGCCGTTTGCTCTCAGCGTTCTTTGCTGAAAATTTCCCCTCCACTACACGAATTCCCTGGTCTCCCCTTTTCCCCTGCCCCCTCTTGTTACTCCAGTCCTGTGTCCATCCCCGATTTACTTGCCAGTACCCCCATCAAGCAGTGCGACAACCAAAGGGAGGGAGAAGGTTGATCTTGGATCACATTGGGTGTAGCCCGCAGTGGGGGATGGGAAGGACTTCTACGGAGTTGAACCAGTTATGCGACTTCCTAGCATCCCTCCCTGCCTCTGCCCTGACCACCAGTATGCTGCTCCAGCCTTGTTTGAAAAGTTTCGTCACCTACTCCTAGTGTACCTTTCTTTTAACAACCACCGTCCCTGCGCCCCAGCCTTGCTGAAATCTCCCTTTTGTTGGTTGTCGTTCTCCTCCCTCGTCTAAATGCTCCCCCCTGAGTCTGGCTAGTGATGCTATCCTCATAGGGGTGTGCAACAATCCTTTTGTAAAGAGACGCCAGGCCCGTCGTATATTTCAAAAAAAAAAATTAATAACTTTTATGGTCACCGAGTTGCGCCTCAGGCCTACTGAACCACAATGGTTGGCAGCGCCAGCCAGAAAGGAGAAACAGTGGACCTCTAGTGATTCGGCGAGGCTTGGTTCAGGGAGTTCAAGCCCGGATGTATTGGTGGTTTAACGCCTCAGCACAGTCAGTGTGTAATGGCCCAAGCCAAGTTCCTCCCCCCCCCCCCCCCCTCTTCAATCAGGGACCCAGAGCACAAGGCCCGGATTATGAGATTGAATACAGCGCCAGGCTTTGGTCACTGGCCTTAGTGTTAAACCACCGGTACCTTGCCCTGCAAAAAAATTCCAACGTGGGCATTACCGTGCTGGCTTTAGTGTTAAACCACCAGTTCCTCGCCCTGCAAAAAATTCCAACGTGGACATTAGCGCGCTGTATCGGATGGGGGTCGGGGACCCAACGATCAGTAGTGGATAGGGAAAACAAAAAAAAAGTGGAAAAGAAAAATGAAATGGGAAAATGGGCATGGCGTGAAAGAAAGAGAGGAAGTCTGCGCGCGCGCATGGGAGAGAGAGGCTCAGAGAGAGAGAGAGAGAGAGGGCGTGTTCGATGCGGCAATCCGCGCAACGTGCTGGATCCATGCTCTCTCTCTCTCTCTCTCTCTCTTTCAGACTTCTTCCCCTCTCCCGCCCCAGCGCAGTCCTGGTAGGGACAATGGGAACAAATTTATGCGGGAAGATTCTACAATACAAAGAGAGAGAGAGAGTCTCTCTCTCTCTCTCTCTCTCTCTCTCTCTCTCTCTCTCTCTCTCTCTCTCTTTCTCTTTCTCTCTTTCTCTCTCTCTCTCTCTGTCTCTCCTCTGCCTGTTTCAGTTGTGTTTTTTCTTCGTTTTCCCTTTTTTCTTTTCAGAAGATCGTTGATTTCTTTATTTTCTTCTTTGTTTTTGTTCACTTGATAGATGGGCGAGGCACTTGGCCAAGCTATCGATGCCGAGCCTGGAATGCCCCTGCGCCAATTTTTGCCAGAGCGCTGGGGTACTGTTTCGATTTTGTTTTGGCAGGCGCTTCCAGCCATTGTGGTCCGGTACCCCGAAGCCTTAAAAGTCGTGGCGCGTTAACGTGAAAGCGTTGCGGCCGATAACTGGACCAAGTACTGGTGGTTTAAACTTACACCATCCAGACAAAAGAAATTCATTGAAAACGACTCGTTTCCGTAAAGATCGGGGGTCAGGACAGGGTCGGCAGTAAGAGAATGATCGCGCCGTATGGACCCCCTCCAAAAACAGGGAAACAAAAGAAGCAACTGCAAAGAGAGGAACGACCTCGGGGAAGGCTGTGGTGCACTCAGGAACGAATCTACCTGCAACTATGGCCAGTGCTACCTTCTTTCCCCAAGACAAAGTACGGTCATTCTAGCTGCATTTAGACTGAAAGATACCCCAAATATAGCTGTAATGACTGTACGCTGTATTTGGGGGAAGAAGGTAGCTTTGTTGCTTGTGTCCTTTTTTTTCCTCGGGGAAGGCCCTGAAGGAGGTGTGCTCACACCAGTGTACCGAGGAACGAATCTACCTGCAACTATGGCCAGTATTAGCTTCTTCTTTTTTTCTTTTTCTTTTTTTTTGTAAGTCTCTCAATTGCACCCACTCTACCTACCTACTTCCTTTTTTTTCTTTTTTTCCTTTTTTTTTTGTAATTGAGAAAGCTTCATTACAGGGGGACACTTACGGGGGTGGTAAGAACATCCTCCGTAAGCGGCCCTGCGTTGGAAGGCTCCATCTATTGGTGGGGAGCGTCACCTGCTGGAAACCGGGTCCAACATCCCATTGTTACATATTGCATTGTGAGGAGTAAAACAGCGGGAATGCTACAACCTACGCCTGATGTCTGCTGTGGTTGTTCTGAGCCAGCCCTGGATATGCTACATGTCCAGTATAGAGAGTACCCAAGCTGTTCTCCACTGGCTATCTTTGCTGTAGAACCCCGATGATTGATGATGTGGGGAATGATTGATGATGTGGGGAATGATTAATGATGTGGGATATGCTACATGGTGATGTGGGGGGGAGGGAGGGTAAGGGGAGCAGGTACTTCAGACAACGGAGGGGGTCAAGATATGTTGGATATCCCATGGGAGATGGAGGAGGGGCCGGATCACCAGTTTGATATCTATATGGATTGGAGACGGGTGGAGGCAAGGATGGGAGTCTGCCAAGCTCTATTTCGGGAGGGACGTGGCCTGCGTTACCAGATGGAGGATCGACTGGAGACGGATGACACAGGGGTAGATGGGGAGCTACCTCGGAAGTCTTCTCGATGACACAGGGGTAGATGGGGAGCTACCTCCAAGTCTTCTCGATGACACAGTGGGAGATGGGGAGTTGCCAGACGGCGTCTTTGGGACAATAGGTAAAGGCGATAATCATCAGCTATTGGACGAAGATAGCCATGACATGATTGACCCTACCATCCCAACATCAGCACCGACGGTTCGCATCACAATGGTATTGACTATGGTACAAGCTTTTGGAGGTGAGACGGCTGCCAGTGTGGAGGGGTTTGACAGCAAGCAGAAGGTGGCGAGGGGAGCGGTGGAGAGGGCGTTCGACAGGCTGAAGGGCATGTGGCTGCTGTTTCTGCAGACACACAAGACCAACCTCGACACGCTCCCGCAGCAGTTCACCGCAGTCTGTATATTGCACAACATACTGATCAACGCTGAAATTCCGTTCGACGAGAATCTGCTATGGGAGGTCGACGCTAATTGCGTGCGACGATGTGGATCTGGGGATCTAAGAGCCCCTTAGTCTGTGTCGATGATTACATCGACAAACGAAGCGTTGGCCCTGCGGGATGCTTTAGCGGAACGAATGAAGCACGATTGAGTCGTGTTCACATGGTGGACAGAAGCGCGTGGAAGTGTAGTCATTGCAGCATTGGCAGGACGACAGATTCGTTGTTTCGTCCTGCCTTGAATGGAGTGTTAGTGCGCCTTGGGGTTGGTAGTTTGCGTTCAAGGTTGCAGTTCGTCAGCGTTGCGGTGCGTGGATGTGCGCGCCCGTTGTTCAGGGAGCCCAACAATGGGCGTTTCCGTGATGTGCGCGCCCGTTGTTCAGGGAGCCCAACAATGGGCGTTTCCGTTCTGTAGTGGGGATACGGCACACTGCGGGTGTCCCGAGCACCTTTCTTTTTGACACGTGGCGGCCGTGTTGAAGAGAGTGCAGGGTTGATCGTGCGGGAGGGGCTGAACTTGTCACCCCTGCGTTAGATTATGATGTCTTTTTTAACAATTGGTGCTCGATTTTGTAATTCCCTTGCGATGTTAAAATCGTCGATTGAGGGTGCAGGTGACGAGGGGTGATGTGTTCTTCTTCTGTTTATTGTTAGTATGTGTTGTTCTTCTGTGTGTTGATATTTCAATGCAATTATGAATCAGGAAGAAGATACACTGTGCCATTGCATCTTCACAACAACTGCTCTTGGACGTCGTCTGCTCTTAAGGGTTGTGTGCATTGTCTTACTAGGACTGTTATAAAGAAAATCAAAAAAGTTATTGGTGCCATTTGGGAAAGCTGCAAAAAACGAACCAAACGAAAGACAATGACATCAGAAAAAGACGAAGATGAAATGTGTGCATGCAAACATCGCAATGCTCATTCAATCATGCAAGCGAAGTCACGAAAACAGCGGACGCATGATGAAAAAAAGGGTGCGCTCGAAGCGCAATTATGTTCGTTCGCAGCAAGCTGCGATGACGACAACACACAACACGGCGATTGACATCGAAAACCCCCGTCGACCTTGCAAAAGTGAACGCCCTAAAACGTCACTCGTCTACTGGCAGGAGCGGCACACTAAACACGTCCACAACCAACGACGATCAAAGTGAAAAACACACCCCTGCCAAAGCGAACGACCTAAAACGTCGCTCGTCTACTCACATGAGCGAAACACTGTACACGTACCCAACCGGCGACAAGCCCGTCACGACTACCAACGTCAGTACGCACAGCCACAAATCTCGGAGCGCCCGCTCCGCCCTCCCACCCTTCCACTTCCCTCTCTCGTGCCGTACATCTCACCAGCAGCGCCCCCCCCCCCCATACGCGTCGTCTTTTCCAGCGTTGTCGTTGTCCTCCTCCAGGGGGCCCGAACCCAACCAATCCAGCCTTTTCGCGTCCTCCGGCCTTGTTATGCTCGCATCTTGCCCAAAATACGATGGCGCAGGATGCCCATTCGGAGATGTACTTCGGGTACTCTCCTAAGGTAGCGTTCGCCTTCCCAAGTTTCTCCGTGACAACATTTGTGGCGCGGATGACTGATCGTCGATGTTCGAAGGAGCGATGCATGGATGCGATGAGCGTGGGCTTCACCACCAGCTTCGTGAAGTAAAAAGTTTCGTAGTGGCTGCGCAGATTGTCTCCAACCATGCAGGTCAACCACATGCTGGCCGCCAAAAGCTTGAAGCAGTCAGCAACCCGAGAGAGACAATCGTTTGAGCCGCCGTCGACGTTCGCACCCATCCGAACCACGCCGCGGAATGCATGCCCGATGCATATGATGGTGGACTCCTGGTACGCTGCCAAGTCGTCGTCCTCAGGCCTGTCCTCGATGTTCGCACCAGCGAACCACAGGGTCAAGTCCATGGATAAGTCTATTGTGTGCGTGCAAACAACCGCACTGACGACTTTACTCCACTGCTCGCCGTACCACATAGCACGAGAAATGTTCGTCGCCACGGATTCCAACGTGTACTGGAAAACCAAATTGTAACCTCTGGGGCGGTTCCCGAACTTGAAGACCCAGCCGTGCAAGACGTGCAGAGCAATATTCTCCACTGCCGCCACGTGGGAGATCACTTGCTGCAGTTGTGCAGGATCAACAATCCTTGTTAGCTTCGTGCAGGATTCCGGCATGACGACGCTCCGAGGGACGACAAGCGCTTGAAGATCGCTGGCGATGGTGACAAAATACTCTCGCGTTTTTGGACATTGTTATACAGTCTTCACCCCTCCCCCGTCGTCCAGAAAGCTTTGTCATCAACCCACAGTCGGGCATGGTCGATCAGATCCTTCGCGCCACGAGCCACCTCCCGCTCGACTACTGGAAGCTCCTCTCTGGCCCTCGGCACGGGTGCCACATTGCCTGAAGTTCCCGCACCCGCAGCAGCGACAGCCTTGCCCCCAACTGCGTGCGCGTCTGCCACTAGATGTGTATAAGAGACAGCCTCAACACGGGTGCCACATTGCCTGAAGTTCCCGTACCGACAGCAGCGACCGCCTCGCCCCCAACTGCGCGGGCGTCTACCAGGACTTCCGCCCACCTCGCCGCGTTCAATGGAGCCTCCCTCATCAGCCGTGTTTGGAGGACGCGCCTGAGACGGCGTGGCAGGCAGTCCACCCTGAGGTGGCCTTTCGTCAGTCCCGCCTCGTGCCCTGACTGCCGTCGCTATTGTGGCTTGTGTGACATTGCATTGTCGACGTCGTTCCAAAGGCTCTTCATCATCACCACCGACGTCGGCGACGGCCTCGTTCTCCGAGCGCGTTTCGCGGGCACGCACGTGCTGCGCCTCTGGTGGAGGCGTCAACAATCTCCTCGCAACGCTTTGATCTGAAGAACGAAGGCGACCACTCTCCCGAACTACGGCCACGGTCTCCTCTGGCGCTTCTTCCTCCGTTGTGAAGACGTCGTCATCGTTACCTTCGTCTGTTGTCGCCCAATGTTGTGGTCAACAAGCAGGCACGCTGCCTGAAGCATCGTCCGAACGGAGCCTCTTCGCCTTGGGGACATGCTGCAGACTCGTTTCTTGCCCTTGAATGTCCGCTGGGACAATATCCAACTTCTTACCACAGACGCCGGGCTCGTGTAGACATGCTTCGTGCTTCCCTCTCCAAGCGAGTTTGGCTGGAGGAGGCGATGAGTGGGAATAGAGGGCCGGCCGCCGATGGGAGTTCCGTTGATCTGGTGAGAACAACGTCCCATGTACGGATCACGTGTGGTGACAACTACGTTTGCACGACGACGAAGAAGTGTCCTCGGTGCACAGATGAGCACGACGTCCACGTGTACGAGGGGAGGACGACGACCCCGGCGAGACTGCTCTGTGGCGAGAAGAAGAGAAGAGCGGCGATGCCGAACCTCCACATGGCAAGACAGATCCGCGGTGATAAGGAGAGAGTGCTCCGCCGTGGATTGACCCAAAGTCCTCAGTCTCGCTGAACATCGACGTGTCCACGGAGCATCGCGGCGCGAATGCAAGGAGAGTGACGGGGCCGAATCTCCACGCGACGAGAAGGCGAGAAGAGCTACAACGGTGATCCTCAACGACACTGAAGAAGTCCCCAGCGAGGACGCGAGAGATGTCTGCGGTGAGCAGGCGATAGAGGTCCGAGGTGAGGTGCTGAAACTTGTGAACCTTCTTGAATTGTTGGATCAAGTTGTCACATTTCTTCCTGCAGTCGACGACCTTCCTTGTGACGTCCGTCTTCTGCAACCTGGACCACACGTCCTTGCACTTCCATTCCCTGGTCTTCATGCGGCCGAAATTGTGCCCCATGCCTGCGAAATACAGATCTTGATCCCTTTTCGCCTTCACGAGTGCAATCGTGTCTCTGACGGACCAGAAATTCTGAGTGCCCTCGCCATCGCTCCTGTCTGTGTCGTCGTCCATTTTCTTGTTCCTCCGATTTCTCAGAGTGGAACCCTTCTTCGCAATCGTACCGCCGTTCCTCACCTTCCTCCCAAGCAACCTAATCTCAAGCAAATCATCTGAGTTGCAATCGTCGTCATCGTCAACGTCATGGAAGTCAAGGGGCTCCTGAACAGCCGCATCGTTGCCTTCGTCAATGCGGAGCTCTTGCACCCCTCTCGTTATTGTGTACGTTCCAGCTTGCCGCAAGGCTTGCCTGCACTCTGCCCACAGCTGCCTACCGTCGCGTTCCACGTGCACAACTGTGGCGGATATGTCCTCCTGTCGCTGCCGTCCACGTGAAGTCCTGGATCCGTTTCACGTCGCAGGTGATCAGCGCATCCATTCTGAACGTTGATCCTCGCCGACTCCTCCTCTGCCATGCCTCGAGGACACATTTCGATTCCCGCCACCCTCGCGAAGCGATAGAGGTAAACCGCCTTCTCTCGCCCCGCACGGACTAACCATCGTCTGCTCCACGCAATCCCTATCTGGGTGGGGATTGATGATGCGAGTATGTGTCGTCGCTGCTCCATTGCGGCTTGACAACTGGAAGCTAAGATCAACCGCTGCATTGCCATCGTCCTCGCATAACCCCTCGTTCAGCACTGAAGTGTAAGACCATGGGGTCTCCGCCCGCCTGCCACTGTAGGACTGCGTCGCCGCCCAATCCTGCGTCCCAACGACACAGTTGATGACCTGATGTCTTCCCCCTCGTCATCCGACGACGGCAGATGAATCTCATGCGAAGGCAGATGAGCATACAACGTCGGGTCGTACGCTTGCTTCGCCACAGACCCCGCAATGCGTTGCCGATTGCTTGTGGCGGTTGTCGTGTCTGCCGGTCTAGCGTTGGTCAGGCGCCGATCCATCCTGTCGCAGGTTTTGGAAGATCTCCTTTTGCGAGCCGCGACAGGGAGCAGGCCAACGAAACACACGTGGAAGAAGAGAACGATGAGAAGCAGCACGACGAAGAGGAGTAGCAGAGGCAGCCTGTGCAGCAGGTCGACCATGTAAGGGTCGTGGAAAGGGCAGGAGATCCACGTCAGTGGTCGACCGTTCAGCGAAGAACTCCGTCGTCAGAAGAAAAAGCAAGGGAAGATCTGTGCTTCGACGTGTAAGGTGTGACAACAGCCGACGAAAACGGCAATCGTCAAAAATCCACTTGTCATCCTCGAACATAGCGCCGACGCGGAAAAGCATTCGTATTTTCGACCGTTGTAGGGCCAAACCCCGGTAGACTTTGGAGCCTCGGTCGACCCCACTGCGGGTCCCAGTTGGCTCGGCCCGCCCACGCTCATGCTCAGGGCACGGACCGTTCGTCCCAGGGTCACCCCCACCTAATGCTTTGAGATGGATGGGGGTGGGCCATCGAGCGAGAGAGCTTTGATATTGGGGATGTAGCTCAACCCTCACGCTGGGTGACAGTCTCGCTGGTCATTCCGCAAACACTGATTTTTTCTTTGATTCTTGGTTGTGTTCTCAAGCAAATGCTCCTTCCAATACGCAAGCAAGTCCAGGGGTTCTTTGAGAKTTCTTCTTCTTTTGTGCGCAGGCTAAGCGTCATCCTTAGACCACGCACMATTTCCCTAAGCATAGCAATCCTACGGCGTCATCAGGGTGTGGCAACGCCGTCTTTCCCCTCGCCTCTACGCACTCCTCATGTCTCATGCATTCCATCCATCGTTATTGGAGCAGGCCCCTTTGTCCTTTCCGGGCCTTCATACACATGCACAGGCTACTTCACATTCCGATCAGAAAAAGTCGCACTCCTTTCTTTCTTTCACCCTCCAGGTCTCCTGCACGAAGGTCTCTCTCTTGGGTCAGTTTTACACTAAGGGCCCCTTAGTCCCTTTGCCCCTTGTTCGCTTTTCCTTTGCCGCCAGGTTTCTCCCGGAGCGGTCCCGCTCAAGGCATCCCAAAGCTTACTCACCTGCACAATCCCACAAAAGCAAAGACCGATACAATCCCCCATTGGGTTCAACACATAGCCCTCCCCGCATGCCTAAGTTTCGTTTCCTTTGACTTCTCTTCATTCTTCGTTCTTTGCTCAATCAGTTCATCCTCTTCTCATAGTCATGTAGTCGGGGAAATGGTTGAGTCAAACTGACCTTGCTTTCAGTACCAACTTGGTCTAATCCTTTTTCCCGGACTTGACTCCTCTCAATTGCTCACGTGTCTCTTCCTTTCCATTCTCGGCGACACAAGGGACCGGTAACCCTTCCCTTGCCCACTTTCTTCGCCAAGTGAGAACAATTTTTTTTCACCGTTTGTCCCCTGACAATGTAACAAGTGAGTGGTGAAGTGTTAGTTATATGCCAAGTGGTGGAAGGGAAGAAGGTTGAGGGGTCCGAAGTGTGAGACAAAGGAACGAGAGAGAGAGAGAGAGAGAGAGAGAGAGAGAGAGAGAGAGAGAGAGAAAGAACTCCCTAATCCTAATCAACCCTTACCCTTACTTGACCTACCATCCCCTGTTCAAGATCTGAACCGATTCATCATTGAGTGAGGGAAGACTGAATTGCACAATTTAGGCTAGAGCACGCACATGTGCGAGGTTAGGGAGACGACTAGGAAAAACCGACACATTACCAAGTGAAAAAAAGACAGAACTGCAGCACAAGACCCACAACACACACATACATGAGTCGGTGAACAACTAGGAAACAACCGCCGCATTACTAAGTGAAGGAAAAACTTGGACAGCAACAAAAGACTGGCAACACACATACATAAATCACGGAACAACTAGGAAGCAACCGCCATATTACTAAGTGAAGGAGACTGAAATGCAGCAAATGACCTACAACATACACATGCATGAGTCACGGAACAGCTAGGAAGCAACCGCCACATTACTAAATGAAGGAAAGAATGAACAACAACAAAAAAACCCACAATAGTAGCAGCCAAGGGCCGGTCACCCATCCTACAACAGTAGCAGCCAAATGTCGGTCACCCATCCTACAAAAGTAGCAGCCAAGTGTCAGTTACCCATCCCGCAGCAGTAGCAGCCAAGTGCCGGTCACCCATCCCACATAAGTAGCAGCCAAGTGTCAGTCATCCATCCTACAGAAGTAGCAGCCAAGCACCGGTCACCCATCCCACATCCGTAGCAGCCAAATGTGAATTTGACAAAATGAGGGTGTGAGTAGAGAGAACACATGTACATGAGTAGTAGAACAGCCAGGTGAGAAACAGAGCATTACCAAAGGCATGAACTTGACAAAGTGAGGGGGTGGGTATTGAAAACACACGTGTACGAGTAGTAGAACAACCAAGTGAGAATCGGAACACTACCAAATGCATGAACTTGACAAAATGAAGATGTGAGTAGTGATAACACATGTGTATGAGTAGTAGAACAACCAAGTGAGAATCGGAACACTACCAAATGCATCAACTTGACAAAATGAGTGTGTGAGTAGTGAGAACACATATGTACGAGTAGTAGAACAACCAAGTGAGAATCGGAACACTACCAAATGCATGAACTTGACAAAGTGAGAGTGAAACTAGCAAGAACACATACACATGAGTAGTAGAACAACCATGTGAGAAACGAAACACTATCAAATACATGAACTTGACAAAGTGAGAGTGAGACTAGCAAGAACACATGCACATGAGTAGTAGAACAACCAAATGAGAATCGTAACACTACCAAATACATGAACTTGATAAACTGAGAGTGTAAGTAGTGAAAGCACATGTCTATGAGTAGTAAAACAGCCAAGTGTGAAACGGAAAACTACCAAAAGCATGAACTTGACAAAATGAGAGGTTGAGTAGTGAAAGCACATGTGTATGAGCAGTAGAACAACCAAGTGTGAAACGGAACACTACCAAATGCACGAACTTGACAAAATAAGGATGTGAATAGTGAAAGCACATGTGTATGAGTAATACAACAACCAAGTGGAGACCGGAACATTACCAAACGCATGAACTTGACAAATGAGGGTGTGAGTAGTGAAAGCACATGTATGTGAGTAGTAGAACAACCAAATGTGAAATGGAATACTACCAAAAGCATGAATTTGAGAAAATGAGAGCGTGAGAAGTAATAACACATGCCCATGAGAAGTAGAACAACCAAGTGGGAACCGGAACACTACCAAATGCATAAACTTGACAAATGAGGGTTTGAGTAGTGAAAGCACATGTATGTGCGTAGTAGAACAACCAAGTGTGAAACAGAACATTACCAAAAGCATGAACTTGACAAAATGAGAGCGTGAGTAGTAAAAACACATGCCCATGAGAAGTAGAATAACCAAGTGGGAACCGAAACACTACCAAATGCATGAACTTGACAAATGAGGGTGTGAGTAGTGAAAGAACATGTATATGAGTAGTAGACTAGCCAAGTGTGAAACAGAGCATTACCAAAGACATGAACTTGACAAAATGAGAGTGTGAGTAGTGAAAACACATGTGTACGAGTAGTAGAACAGCCAAGTGTGAAACAGAACACTACCAAAGAAATTGACTTGACAAAATAAGAGTGTAAGTGGTGAAAGCACTTGTGTATGAGTAGTAGAACAACCAAGTGTTAAACGGAGCATTACCAAAGGCATGAACTTTGACAAAATGAGAGTGTGAGTTGTGAAAGCACATGTGTATGAGTAGTAGAACAACCAAGTGTGAAACGGAACACTACCAAAGGCATGAACTTGACAAAATGAGAGTGTAAGTGGTGAAAGCACATGTGTATGCGTAGTAGAACAGCCAAGTGTGAAACGGAGCATTACCAAAGACATGAACTCGACAAAATGAGAGTGTGAGTAGTGAAAGCACATGTGTATGAGAAGTAGAACAACCAAGTGTGAAACGGAACACTACCAAATGCATGAAGTTGACAAAATGAGGGTGTGAGTAGTGAAAGCACATGTCTATGAGTAGTAGAACAACCAAGTGTGAAACGGAGCACTGTCATATGAGAGATGGGTCATGCGTGAGAGTGAGACTTGCTCAAACACATGCTTCAAGCCCATGAAGGCAACCAAGAATGCAATAAAACATCATCTTGAGTCATGCATGTGAGTGAGACTTGCTCAAACACATGCTTGAAGCTCATGAAGGCAACCAAGAACGCAATAGATCATCATCATGTGAGAGTTGAGCCATGCATGTGAGTGAGACTTGCTCAAACACATGCTTGAAGCTCATGAAGGCAACCAAGAGTGCAATAGAACATCATCATGTGAGAGTTGAGCCATGCATGTGAGTGATACTTGCTTAAACACATGCTTGAAGCTCATGAAGGCAATAAAAGAATGCAATACAACATCATCATGAGAGAGTTGAGCCATACATGTGAGTGAGACTTGCTCAAACACATGTTTGAAGCTCATGAAGGCAACCAAGAATGCAATAGAACGTCATCATGCGAAAAAATTGAGCAAAGTAGGTGAAAGGAACCATCAAAAATACTAGAACAGGCACGGACAAGAGTTGCGATTTGTTCCTAAGTGAAGAAGAGGAGAGAAAGTGAGAAAAGACTAACTCATTTAAATGCATAAAATCACAAGGGGTGAAGTGACGATTTACATGGGAATGAAGAAAAGGGACAAAACAATAGATAAGCATCATCAAAACACTAGATTAAGCATAGACAAGAGTTGTGATTTGCTCCTAAGT